TTAATTTTTGTGTTTTGGGAGATGAAAGAAAGAGAGAAAAGACAACCCATATTTCGTTTTTATATCATTTGTTATCAGTGATTCTGTGCGTAATCCTTAAATCTAATTGATATGTTTGCATCAAATCCTCACCAGCTCAGGTGTAAAGTACCATCACAGATGTGTACAGTCATGTGAAACTAAGGGAGTACATGGTTTCCGCTGCATTGTTCCACACTGTAAACTAAAATAGTCACTTTAACGTTGTACAGACTGGGTACTTTGGAGAGTTAGGTAATTATATAAAAAATGGAATTGTATGCTACTGTACATGTGAATGTAAATACATTTGTGCTTTCTTCTATTCTAAATAAATGATATGATATTACATGTGGTGGTGTTTCAGTTATTTTCATACATTAGTTCATCATTAACCATATGCCCAAGTTTTATTATCATATGTAAAAGCATCATGTTTCCTTGGACAGTTAGATTCTTTCTTTACTTTCCACAACAGCTCCAAATATTTAAAGGAAAGTCAACATATAAAATAGAAACATAGAATAAATGATATTGGTTTGAGTCCTCTCCCTATCGTCAGCATGCAGGAGAAGAATTTAGTGAATTAAATCAGTGAAGTTGTTCTTCTGAAATGGTGCGTGTGCCTCAGGATTAAGCTTTTTTGGCTGTGTCTGTGTCTCTGGGTTTTGGAGTGTTTGTTGCCCATGTGTTTTTTTTTTTTTAAAATACATATAAATGGAGGCAAAAAGGGATGAAACATAATGTTCAAAAACGTAGATACTTCTCTAGCTCATTGGCTCATCATTTTTGGCCTGGACTTGTAATAATCTTTGCATCATAACCATTATTACAAGTAGTTAGATGGGCATCTAAGGAGCGACTGGAGTTCTTCCAGTTTCTTGAAGACGTTTCACCTCTCAGCCAAGAAGCTTTTTCAATTCTAAAACCAAATGGTGGAGAGCCCCTGGTGTTTAATCCCCAGTGGAAGTTGTCCCTTAAGAGTGTCGATAACCCACTATTGATCATTTGCCTCATCATGGTCAGTTATCAGAAGATGAGGTGCTGAATTTTAACAATAAAAAGTTAATATGCAGTGTACAGTATTAAAGTACTGACCGGCATGGATACTTTAACATATTTGGTGTAATCCCATTAACAAGTAGTTGGCGTGTTTTTATGATTAGTGCATATTTCCTGTGTTGCCATGGTGTTTTCATAAACCTTGGAAATATTTTTATAATCCTGCACGCTCAGCAGACTGATCCCCAACAAGTCCTACAGCCCGAAACAGTAGTTTCTTCCACAGGATGGCGCCAGAGACACTAGAGAGAAGAGATGGTTTCACAAAAAGGTCATTTTGTGTGTTTTTATGTGCTATCTTTGCTCATATTGGTAAATAGACTGTAGGGGTTATATGATTCTCTGTTACTGTAACTCCTGTGTGCTCTCTATTATAACCAGTCCAGTTCTTTTTGGCCACTTCAGATATTTTTATACGACTGTTATTTTATATTTGTTGCATTTTCTGCCCCACTCTTGGCCAGATCTCTCTAGAAAAAGACAATTTTTATGTCAGTGACACTTTTTAGCTCGATAAATAAAAGTCACTTTACTGAAAACTGATTGCAGCCTCACTTTGTACGAGCAATCGTCTTTCTTCTTTTCTTTTCTTTTCTTTTTTTTTTGACAAATACTAGAAATCACTACTTTACTGGAAACACACCAGGAAATACAAAATGAAACATCCTGCACAACTCTTTATTGGTTAAAGTCATGATGTGACATGATGACCTGACTGATGCTGCTGTATTTGTCAGCTGTCAGACATTATCCAGCTTCCCAAACAGGAGTTTTTAGATAAGTCATCATTATAACAAGCACAGAGCAACACAAAGTCAGACCAGAGCGGAGATTAAACACTTTGCAGGGTGTCCGGGTGGAGAAAATGTGGCTGTCGTTCCTCTCCGCACCGCTGAGAGGAATTAGGAAGGCTTTTGACTGGATGTCGCTGCATCATCAGACACTGTCCACACTTGCTTTCCTGGAGAACGAGGTAAGTAACAGCATGTTTAGGACAACTCTGCAAATTATTGTTCTGAAATGATACCATGTTACCCAATGATGAACACCTTTACACTTGTATGCCTCTCCTGATGATGTCCCGTCCTTTGCTGAGGAGCAACAGCAAGACACGACCCAGGCAGCCACATTGTGCAGCGCTAAATAAAGACAGAAACTTTATCTGTCTGTTATCTGTTGCAGCATTAGCCTAGCCTCTTCTGCTGAGATAATGGTGCAGCAGGTAAACTGATCCCTATCAGGTGTAACATATGCCATTAACAGCAATATGTCTGTGAAGGTTCTCAGTCATCCAGGTCATCGTAGTCAAAGGAGTTTGCAAAGAAAAGCGTCTGGACTTCTTTAAGTTGCTTGAAGAAAAAGATAAAGGACACTCTTTCGAGGATGCCAATGTTCACATTTTGGACAGAGAGGACAGATGGTTTGAAAGAGGAGTGAAAGAAGCCATCTATGTCCACTGTGAGCGACCATCTTTGAACAGAGGCGGGGGTTTACGACACCAACTCTCTGCCATCTATAATCCAGTTTTGAGATCCCTCCCCAGACGCCTTAATGCCCACTCACATCCTGGGCCATCTGATCTCAGGAATTCGCATGATAAGGTGGGGCCAGGTTTCACAATGAACACACCCGAAACTCTGGCTGATTGGGACCCACACCCAGTTTCACACATAAAGTTACCATTGACCACTGACCATTGGCTCAGGCGATTAGAGGATCATCAGGGGGTCCTTTTGTCCCTCTGTGGGGGGAAACTCCCACTAGGTTTATATCTGGGACTCTCCACCATTTGACCTTAGAACTGAAGAAGCTTCTCGGATGAGAGGTGAAACGTCTTCAAGCAACTTAAAGAAGTCCAGACGCTTTCCTTTGCAAGCTCCATTGACATATGCCATTAACACATTCACCCAGGATGCATGTCTATGTTTTACATCTTTATTTCATTAAAAAAATAAAACATAAAAAAAAGCGGTGAAAATGTTGCTTATCTAAACAAAAATAAATGCATTACTCACATTATTTAATTAATAAATATATTCATTAATAAATCTTTATGTTTAAAACTTTAGGAAAAAATCTAGGGAAATTTAAAATCTTACCAGAACATATCAGTCACAGCATGGCTCCACGTCAGTGTTTTCTTCACCGGTCAGTCTTGTGTCAGATCTTGTGTAGCTGGTCAGTAGTCAGTGTTATATGTGCAGCGACAGTGCCAACCTAATGACTCAGCTATTTTTCAGTCACACAGGCTTCAGTACACAACTGGGGTGTCAGTTTACCACGAGCCACCACTCCTGTTACTGCCCTTCATTTCTCCATTGTCTGCTTACTTCATGGGCAAGAAAAGAAAATGAGATAATTTACTGATGCTAATAAAATGGCTTTTTATAGGGGTGGTGTATATTTTTACACACATATGAAAAAAGTTTTCCATCAGCTTTTTCTTAATTTTCCATCCAACGTCACCATGTCAACATAAATCTTAGAGCTGAAACAATGTTGGAGAAATAAAGTGAACAGTTTCTTTTATGAGTTTTCTTTTTGCATTTCTCTTTTTGCATTCATCAAAACAATCACATTATTTGTGTATGTCTGTTTGTGTGTGTTGCATCACTTTACATAAAAAAAAACATAAACAAGAGTAAAAAACTACCCAAAAAAAGTGTTATGTCTATTGGCAGAAACTGAGTTTTCTTCTCTGTCTCTCATCTAACTAAACATATCAAATTCAGAGTTGGAGATGATGATGATGATGATATGAGTCATAAAATATCCTAAGTGTAAATGCTGAACAGGCCGAGTTAACTTTGTTGAAGTTACTTTTATGTCTTAAGGAAGGAGACAAAAGATTTTGCATCGATTGGTTAGACAGAGGGATCGAGCTGGAAAGGATTAGCAGCAGCTTTGCGTGATTAAAGAAAGAAAGAGAGAAAAGTGTGTGTCAGGAAGGTGGAAGGAGGACTTTGAGGAGTTGATGAACGGTCACAGCAGATGGAAGAGAGCATGGAAAGGTGAAGGTGTCCTCTGGAGAGAAGAGGAATAAAAGTCAGTCGAAGCAAAACCGAATACATGTGTGCGAATGAGCAGGAGACAGTGGTGAAGACAAAAGGTGGAGGTGGGTGGAGACGAGTGTCAGGGTTGACTTGTGACTGATAGATAGCAGCAAGCAAAGGCTTACAAGATGACAGTGAGACCTGAGATGTTAAGATTAGAGGAGTATCTCAGCGGGTTGGGGGGTTTGGAGACACAATTAGAAAGACAAGGCTGACATGTGCAGAGGATGTTAATGATGAAGCTGCCAAACAAAAGAGGACGACCACAGAAGGAGATCATACAGAGGTTTGGTGTGACATAACAGGATACTAGAGTGATGCAGATGATCAGCTGTGGCGACCCCTAAAGGGAGAAGCTGAAAGAAGAAGAAAACGATTATGCAGTTAAATAAAATAGAGTTGCTTTAGTAATCTCAATATGACACAACATTTATTCTTTATCTTTACTTTTGACTTTTAAATCAATTTTTCCGAACTCTTCTGTCGGACTGCATACGTTAAAGTTCCTCTGTGTGTGTATCGATTATTCTGCCATCTATTAGTAGCGTCTGTCCGTCTCGTAGCTGCTGCAGGATTGTTGTCATTTTCTGTGGCTAGCGTTTAGCGCTGGCTAGCCGTTGGATTTTTCTCTCCAACATACTCTGATCCAGCAGGTGGGTTGTGTCATTAAACCTGTATGAAGCGAGGCTCTTTAAATTAGTCAACGAAAGCTTTTAGTTGTAAAATTAGCAGCTAGCAGTCAATATTGAGTGTTGCCGGGCGCAGCTAAAAGTTGAAAACAAATGTCAGCTAACAGCTAGCTGCATTCTTAATAAGTTAGCTCGCTTAAAGCTAGCTACATAGTCTTCTGCAGTAGCTGAAAACGAAACTCTTTTCCAATTTAGACTGGCAAACAAATACAAACGTTTATTACTTACAACGTATTTCTACAGATGTCCGGTTTGTGAGGAGGAAGGCTAGACTGGTTTGATTTCACTGTAAACATAGTACCCGACATAAAATGTCCATGTTAGGTCATCGTTTCACGACGGTCCCTCACGGAAGAGCTGGGGACGTTTACTCCAAAGTTGGAGAGGGTGTCGATCACATTTTTAAAAACTCAGTTCACGTAAAATTTTCCGTTTTGCACTTTTGTGATGTAAGGAAATGCCACGCTAACATGGCCCTGTTCCAGCTGCTGTGAAGAGGACTCGACATGTCAGCTCCCCCTTCCTTTCAAAATTCTGCAAATAAAGCAGGTTTTAAGGAAGAGGGCAGGTCGTAGGTTCACTGACATCACGATGATGTCTTTAATGGGCCGCTGTCTTTGCGCTGCAACAGCTGTCAACAGCTGTCTGGCTTCAGATAATCTCATTAATGGTGGAGCCACAAAAATATGCAGCACCCTGACTGGTTATTTTATTTTAAAAGTGTAGCTGAAATTTTCATTATAATTGAGCTGAAATGAACAGAAAACGCTAATGCTAGAAGCTGGATCTGTATTTGTTCTTTATAGCTCGTGCAATAAATAATAAAAATAGAATTTCAGTCATATCGCAACTGACTGGAGTCAGAATAGGAGTTAATCTCATGGAGCCTGAGTGATGTCTTTATTTTACATTGTGTGTTTTATAAAGCAGTGAATGAGGTTTTTTATCCTTGGTTGACTCTCAACCAAAATGCAGCAAATAGAATATAAAATGCAATATACTCACATGGATAACATAAAAAGGATTATAAATGTGCAGTCATAAAAATATTTGTTTGGACAGCTTTAATTTGGAGTTGAAAGAAGCTCACAGAAACTGTCCAGTTTCCTTCCTGGCTTAAAATGGGCTTTTGGAGTTAGACCACATAGATAAGCGTGATTGGTCAAGATAAAGTTGCAATTCTGTACATTTTCCTGCCATTTCTGACCATTTAATGATCAAAAATATATTTTAAGTTTACTTTACGGACGTGTAGACTGTTGAGGGTGTACCCCCATCTCTTACCTCTTGGGAAATACTCCACAAACCTCATTTAAAGTGCTTAAAAATTTATTTTTTTAATCATTGTCCTTGTGGTTTTTCTCTGGCCAAAACCTCTTTGCTATTAGTCAGAGAATGGCTTATATTCAGATGAAACCCTGAGATATAATATTGCTGCTAATTTTTCTAACAACAACAGGGACTAATTAATCATCATCACCTAATATGTAGCAGTCCGGGAATCCATCAGCTAATTTTTCCCTCTGGAGACAATGGTCAATATTTCCGGGCCAGAGATATCTGAGACAAGACTTCCTGTTTTGATGATTTCAAGATGCACATCGACAAATGAGTTCCCTATTTTGGTATCCTAGCAGATTTTTTTTTTTTTTAACCTGAATGCAGACACAGACTGCTCAAACACAAAACCAAAAAGCTTCATAAAAAGTTGGCTCTTTTATACTTTGTGCCTGAAACCTTTGCACAGCACTATACTATACCCGTGTGTGCGTGTTACTCAGGATGTTAGGATGGAGTGTGGCCCAGTTCTGCCGGACAGCCTGGTGTTGGAGATCTTTCTGCGTCTGCCCCATGATGCTGTGCTGAGAGCTGGTCTGACCTGCCGACAGTGGCTGGCTGTCTCCAGAGATGAGTTCCTGTGGAGGGAGCTGTTCTACAGCTACTACCGCATTCCCCGCTTGGTACCCCGGCACCCTGGTAAATATCTTTATTATTTATTTGTTTCTGAGAGGAATTTAGTTACTGCTGAAATGCTCTCTCATTAATTCCAAAACCTGCCTGTGTGCAGCGGCTGTATCGTGGTACAGGGAGTTCAAGCGTCTGTTTGACTGCATCCCCTGTGTGGAGGTTCAAACTCTGAGAGAGCACACCGACCAAGTCCTTCACCTGGCTTTCTCTCATCGGGGTCACCGCTTCTCCTCCTGCTCAAAAGACTGTACTGTTAAGGTAAGATATGCTGCTGAGGTTTCTTATTGTCTATGGAGGACAAGGGGACACTTTTACTCAATTTTAGGTATTTTACTCATCTGGGGGGGTTGTTGCAGAAGATCAGTGGCAACTTGCACAAACAGTGGAAACAGAGTAAGGGAAAAATGTCTGACTACCTGTGCAGCAATGTCTTGCTGTCCAAATACATAGTGAGTATTACTCCAGGCCATAAAGTGCAAAGTATGCAGCAGTGCTCGCGGAAATTAGTGGACAACCAATGGCACAACTGAAGTACTCAATACCATCACGCAAAGAAAAAAATACAGTGTTGAGAGGACGAATAGAAGTGTAGTGGAGAGTTAGTCATGATTCCTGCTCAATCATCCAGCGCTTCCCACTGAAAACGCTTCATCCAGATGAACAGAGTCAACTTTCTGGGACAAAATATTTCTATTTTTTGGTTAAATACTGTTCGTAGAGTCGTGATTAATTAGAAAAAAAATTATGTTGGTTTTTATTTATTTGTCTAACAGTGATCAGTCTCATCTGTGACTGCAGTGGTTCAAGGAAAATGATGAGTAGTGTCAAAAAGTTTCGTGCTCTAAGAAGTTTTTATAGAAATGGTGATGCTGAAAGCTTGCATAGGCCATTTTTTTATTTCTCACAGAATATTACCAAGAATAGACGAGGGACTTGCTAAATATTCAGCCCTGTGAGCAAAACCGATAGTGGCAAGGCAAGGCAAGTTTATTTGTATAGCACAATTCAACAACAAGGTGATTCAAAGTGCTTTACAGAGACATTAGAAACAAGAACAAATAAAAAGCATGATTTAAAATTGATTAAAACAAGCAAACAAACTAACTAACTAATTAACAAACAAACAACAGTATATAAAATCAGAACAGTAGATAAAATCAGTAGTTAAATGTAAGTTTTGAAATTTAAGCTTAAAGTGTGGATTTGGTGCTTTATTCAAATGCAGCTGAGAATAGGTGAGTCTTCAACCTGGATTTAAATAAACTGAGTGTTTCAGCTGATCTGAGGCTTTCTGGGAGTTTGTTCCAGATATAAGGAGCATAAAAGCTGAATGCAGCTTCTCCGTGTCTGGTTCTGACTCTGGGAACTGATAAAAGACCGGATCCAGATGACCTGAGGGATCTGGATGGTTCATACTGGGTCAGGAGGTCATTGATGTATTTTGGTCCTAAACCATTCAGAGCTTTATAGGCCAGCATCAGAACTTTAAAGTCTATCCTCTGACGGACAGGCAGCCAGTGTAAGGACCTCAGAGCTGGACTGATGTGGTCCACTTTTTTGGTCTTAGTGAGGACTCGAGCAGCAGAGTTCTGAATGAGCTGTAGTTGTCTGACTGATTTTTTAGGTAGACCTGTAAAGATGCTGTTACAGTAATCAAGCCTACTAAAGATGAATGCATGGACTAGTTTTTCCAGGTCCTGTTGAGACATCAGATCTTTTATCCTTGATATATTCTTGAGGTGATAGTAAGCTGACTTTGTTATTGTCTTAATGTGTTTTTCTAAGTTTAGGTCTGCATCCATCACTACACCCAAATTTCTCGCCTGGTTTGTGGTTTTTAGATGTATAGATTGAAGTTCTCTGGTGACCTGTAATCGTTTTTCTTTGGCGCCAAAGACTATTACCTCAGTTTTGTTTTTGTTTAGCTGGAGAAAATTGTGGCACAACCAGTCATTGATTTCCTCAATGCATTTACCAAGAGCCTGTACAGGGTCTCGGTCTCCTGGTGACATTGTGATATATATTTGTGTGTCATCTGCATAGCTGTGATAGTTTATTTTGTTGTTGTTTATAATCTGTGCCAGTGGGAGCATGTAGATGTTAAACAGAAGGGGTCCCAAGATGGAACCTTGGGGAACTCCACATGTGATACTTGTCTGCTCAGATGTGAAGTTACCTATTGATACAAAGTATTTCCTGTTTTCTACGTATGTTTTGAACCAGTTTAGTACAGTTCCTGAAAGACCTGTCCAGTTCTCCAGTTGTTTGAGTAATATGTTGTGGTCAACTGTATCAAATGCTGCACTGAGATCCAGTAAAACTAAGACTGACATTTTTCCACTGTCTGTATTCAGACATATGTCATTAAACACTTTGGTCAGAGCGGTTTCAGTGCTGTGGTTCTGTCTAAAACCTGACTGGAAGGCATCGTAGCAATTATTCTGTTTTAAGAAGTAACTGAGCTGTTGAGAAACTGCTTTTTCAATGATCTTACTTAAAAACGGGAGATTTGAGATCGGCCTGTAGTTGTTCATTTGTGTCTTGTCAAGATTGTCCTTTTTCAGTATAGGTTTGATTACAGCAGTTTTTAGTGATTCTGGAAACACACCTGATAATAAAGAAAAGTTGACGATCTGTAACAGGTCTGACTCTAAAGTCTTTGAGACCTTTTTGAAAAAACTTGTTGGCAGGACATCTAAACAGCAGGAGGAGTTCAGTTTACCTAAGATGTCCTCCAGGTCTTTGCTGTTAATCGGGTGAAACTGTTTCATGGTGTTTAAACAGTTTTTTGGTGGACACAGTACATATCCTGGATCTGCTGTTGATGTACCAATTGCTTGTCTAATTTTTTGGATTTTTTCAGTGAAGAATTTGGCAAAGTCATTGCAGGCCATGGTCGAATGAAGTTCAGCTGCCACTGACACAGGGGGGTTTGTTAGCCTGTCAACTGTAGAAAATAAGACCCGAGCATTATGGCTGTTTTTAGTGATGATGTCAGAGAAGTAGGACCTCCTTGCACTCCTCAGTTGCAAATTATAATTGTGAAGTTTCTCTTTATAAATGTCATAATGAACCTGGAGGTTTGTTTTTCTCCATCTGCGCTCAGCTTTCCTACACTCTCTTTTTTCATTTTTCACCAGTGTGGAGTTTCTCCATGGAGACTTTTTCCTTCCAGAGATAACCTTCACCTTAATGGGAGCAATAGTGTCCATTACATTTAACATGTTAGCATTGAAGCTATTGACGAGCTCATTGACTGACCCTCTGGACAGGTCAGGTGTTAATGGGAAGACCTGGTTAAAAATTGCACTACTGTGTTCAGTTATACACCGTTTTGTGATCACTGTTGTTGATATATTTGTGTGGGCTGAGATTTTACTTTCAAAGAAAACACAGTAATGATCAGACAGGCCCACATCAGACACAGTAACCTTTGAAATGCTCAGGCCTTTGGAGATCAGTAGGTCAAGAGTGTGTCCTCTATTATGTGTGGCCTCTGTTACATGCTGAGTCAGCCCAAAGTTGCCCAGAGTGTTACTCAGGTCTTTAGTCCCTTTGTCCTGAGGGTTGTCCACATGAATGTTAAAATCCCCAGCAATAATTACACAGTCAAAATCAACACAGATCACAGACAGCAGTTCACTGAGGTCATTAAAAAAGTCTGTGCAGTATTTGGGAGGCCTGTAAACATTAAGAAACACAACTTTGGATGGGGCCTTCAGCTGTAAAGCCACATATTCAAAAGACTGAAAACTTCCAGGAGATAGCTGCTTACATTGAAATGATTCATTAAATAAGACAGCAACCCCTCCTCCTCTCCTGCTCGCCCTGACCTCACTGATAAAACTGTAGTTAGGAGGGGTCGTCTCGATGAGAACAGCTCCACTGTTACTTTGGTCCAACCAAGTTTCAGTTAAAAACATAAAATCAAGGCTGTGCTCAGTGATTAAATCATTAATTAAAAATGTTTTCCCAGCTAGAGATCTAATGTTTAATAAAGCCAACTTAAGTGTTTTAGAGGTATTACTTGTCCCCTCGTGTTTGGGAGCAGTCTGTGGCACACAAGGTATGTTTACTATGTTTAAAGATCTTTTAGAGTGCAGCTCTCTGTGTTTTGACCAGGCCACATGTCTCCTGTCACCTAAAAGTACAGAAATTTTAAAACCTTCTAGTAAACAGGGTCCCAGCTTCTCCTGGGAAAAGTCATCACTGCCATAATCCTCACAGCCCGGACCCTTCACACATCACGCATCAGACTGCGGAGACAGGGCATGAAGAGGAACTAAGGGGGGCGAGGCTGGGCAATGTGACTTCGATTGCTCTGTTGAGGGTGGGGCTCGATGGCGAACCTTTGGCCGCTCTGGTGGGGGGTTTATGGGGGACAAAAAGGGATTGGGACGGGGGGTAGATCTGAGCCCAGCATTGACCCGCTCCATCATCTCCTCAGTGAATTTCAGGTGTGGGAGGAGGGAGAAAGGGAGGGGGAGGAGGGTGATGGCCTATCAGGGGTTTGGGGGACTGGGGAAGGTCGTGGTCCCTTGTCCTGGTCGTTGGTGTTGTTGAGAGAGTTGGAGGCAAATAGGGACCCCTCTTCTTGCCTTAGATGTCTCTCCTTTCTGAGGCTCTTCCTCAGATGCCATGGATGTGGCGTTGGTTTCTCTAAAGTCTTATCAATATCCATCCTGCACATTCTCTCACATCTTCTCTCTTCCTGTGTGCAGCTATGGGACACTGAGCGGCCAGATGGTAATATCTCCTTGGTGCACAGCTCCAGCATGCGGCAGTTTAACTGGGGCTACACCCAGTTCTCCCAGTTCAACGCTGATGACAGCCTGCTGCTCGTCTCGGGTGTCTACCTGGGACCACACCACTCGTCATCAGGAGAAATCGCTGTCATCAGTCTAGGTAGGAACCATGAAATACTCCAAATTGCTTTTGAAACCTCAGTAACATCATTAAATAGCTTGATTTGATTTACATAGTTCAGGCTCAAAGAAGGAAAAAATACTTTTTTTTTAAATTTTGCGATTAATGATTACATTTCTGAATGAACTTCCATGTTAAATGCCATTTTTGGTCACATTTTATGGTGTAAGAGCTTTCACCCAACTTCATTATCCAACTCTCCAACTATGAGGTTATGCTCAGGGTTACTCATTTAAAACGTCACGTGCTAGTCTAAGCTGCATTTGTTCATTAATGTGTTCTCTGTGACGCTCTCCCCATTCGATGCGTTGCTACAGAAAATTACACGCTGTTGTCGCGGGTCAGGAACAAGCCCTATGATGTCTTTGGCTGCTGGCTGAATGAGACCCACCTGATATCTGGAAACCTGCACTGGATAGGCAACATGACATCCTGCTCTGTGCTCTGGCTCAATAAAGCCTTCCAGGTGAGACCATAGACTGTAGCCTTGATATTATTATTATAAAATCTGCCATGCAGTTATCATAAAGGAGGAAATGAGCAATATGTGTAGTCGAGTGGAAAATGTGTGTTTCCCCTGATTTAACCTATTTTCACTGTCAACATGTGAGTCTAACTAGAGTGTGTTTGCACAGGTAGAAAGCAACTAATTGTAAGATGCGTTTGAGATCATGAAAAGCCCTCAAAGACAGCTTACATTAGTCTATGAAATTAAAAACATATACACGCTTAAATGATAATAAAACACATAAAACCACTAAACTGTAAAAACTGATCAATAGATTGTAGACTAAGGCCATGTCATAATGAACGGTTCTGAATACATGGGATTTATGGTCCGGAGATCCGGTGTAGGCATATCCCAAAGTTTTGGGGCAGAGAAACTAAAGGCTCAGGTTATGAAAGTGAGGAGGAGGATCTAGAAAACAGGATCTTGTGTGTTATCAAGTAGGTGCTTACATGACCGTGAGCGGAAAAACCTCCCAACAGCTGAGAAAACAAAGATTGCATCCACACATTAGTAGAAAGGTGGTGTTATTTTTCTTTTTCAGTATCAAAGACTGTTGGTGAGGTATTAATCCATTTGGTTTCTTTCAATAACTCTGAGAAATTTGGTTTGTTTTCTTTTTTTCAAAGCAGCAGACTGTAAACATATTTGTTTCTATTTAATTTTAATATGGCAGTGCTCTGTGGGTTTGCTCTTGTTTTGGAGCACAGACTCACACATCTCTAAAATCTTGCGTATATTCAGCAAATTCAATAAAATCGAGGAGCTCGTGGTTATGAATATATGTGAGCATGTGCAGCGGTGGGTTTCCAGGGGAAAAACAAAAAATAAACGTTCCTTTCCTGCAACAGGATATCGAATCGGAGAACGTCAACGTGGTCAAGCGCCTTTTCAAGATCCAGAACATCAACGCCAGCACCATTCGCACGGTGATGGTGGCCCACTGTCGGCGGCACGATAACCCGGACTTGCTGTTGGACTATGAAGCTCAGTCTCAGGCCCGAAGGCAGAAGGGGCAGCACCACCACCAGCCTCTCCTCTTTGACTTGGCAACGTCCGGTAGCGAGGAAGAAGAGGAGCAAGAAGAGGAGGAAGAGTGCCAGAGGGGAGCGAGAAGTCACGGCCTCCCCAGTCCTCGTCTCCCTCAGCCGACCATGTCGGGACTGGAGCACGTTATACATGTAAAGAATCTGTTTGGCTTTTGTTTTGTTTTTTTAGCTTTTTCATTTTTTAAATTCAATTTCTTTTGTTGCACTTTCCTTCTTCCTCCCAGAGCCGAAAAAACGTGGGGCAGAAGGAGCTGGAGATTGAGACCCAGGTGGCTCAGTTGATGGGCAGAGCCTACACGAAGCCCCCTGACCCCAGCCTCACTGAGCCGTCCGAGTCTGGGGAGGAAGACAAAACGTACTTACTCTTCACCACCGGCAGCCTTACATACTCCCCTCACCAGATAGGTAACAAAGTTATTCAGCAACGCTGCGATATTTTCTCAAAATTGTGCCAACCCTCTCTCACCTGGAAGCTCCTTTTTCACTTTCCAGGCATTAAGCGAATCAGGCCTGAACAGATGACCACTTCGGGTCCTGTTCTCGGCGAAGAGCGAAGTTCAGACGAGTTTTTTGATTCCCTGGATCATGTTATTGATATCCACGGTCACATCATTGGCATGGGCCTTTCTCCAGACCACAGGTAATTAAATGAGAAACATTTGAGCTTATTTGATCCTGTATCAGCTTTTTAGTTTAACATCACTTCTCCTCTGTCATTGGTCAGATACCTGTATGTTAATAGCCGGGCTTGGCCAGCTGGATGTGTGATCTCAGACCCCATGTCTCCGCCCCCCATCGCCGAGGAGATCGACCTGCACGTGATTGACCTGAAGAGTTTGAGAGAGGAGAGAAGAAGCCTGCGCGCTCATCGAGCTTTCACACCCAACGATGAGTGCTTCTTCATCTTCCTGGACGTCAGCAGAGACTTTGTTGCCAGGTGTGTTTGTTATTTTATTCCTCAGACACAGAAGTTTTTCACACTTGAGCCACTCTCCACTGGGCAACAGAAAAGGAAGCGATACTGCAGTGTTGGGTAAACGTGCTCACCATTTCACTGCTCAGGATGTAAGAAATTCCCTTTTTTTCGTTTTGGCACAGTGCGTCACAGTGTGTCAGTTGTACATGACGTTATTTCTAGTAACAGGGGTGTGTCAGAATTTAAAACAGTAATCAGACAGCTCGTTTGAATGAAGACGCTGCTTTCGGATGTTAAGGTTTACACTCAGGACGTGTCAGTCGTGAGTTTGAGCAAAAAGAAAATAATGAAGCAGAAACAAAATCTTCCCTCGAAACCGAGAAGAATCTGTTCAGTATGATGGGTGCTGTCATGAAGAGATTTTCCACTTACTGTCCATATTATTCCCCCACTACTTATATAAAAACAAATATTTCCCATGGCATGTGAAGATTTTTGTTGAGAGTGACAAGGATAGAGGGACAGCTCGGATTGAGCTGGTTTGGATATGTACGGAGGAGAGATGGTGGGCATAACGGACAGTAGATGTTGAAGAGTTGCCAGGCAGGAAGAAAAGAGGTAGACCAAAGGTTCATAGATGCAGTGAAGTGACACCCATTATCACTATAAGACAAAATGTAGATCCACAGCCGATATATCAGCAAGTTTGATTTGCTTCAGATTTCTCACAAGATAGAAACCCACAACTGAGACTCGGTTGGTGTCTCCTCCTAGTCCCAAACTGGTGATCTTTTGCATTTTAGGGAAATACGATACCGCATACTGTACCATACTACACGATACTATAGCAGGTTTATTTGTAAAGCACTTGAAACCAACCACATGGACCAAAGTGGTGTACAGAAGAATAAATAAAAGACAAAAAAAAACCTAGTAGATAAACACAAATGAAATAAATGAAATAAAATGTGTTCATAGATAAATATTAATAATCATATGCTGTTGTTTTAAGGGGTTTGTGGGCTGTGATTGTATGTTTATGTCTGAATAACTCAAATTCTGAACTCTGTGGTTTAATAGAAATATGTATAACACAGTTTTGTTAAACTCACTATTCACGATTTATTTGATTGAAACATTGATGAGGTAAAAGCGCTGCGTAACCACACACAGCTCCAGCTTCACAGGGGACTACCTTGATCTATTTCAAAGTAAAGTAAACGTATTCATGTGTTTGTCAGTTTTAATTGATATTCACTGCAAATGTTTACACACTAAATCAAACGCTCGGTAACCGCTCTGACTTACCCTCCAATCTCCCACCTGTAGTGGAGCCGAGGACAAGCACGGCTACATCTGGGACCGTCACTACAACATCTGTCTGGCGCGTCTGGCACACGACGATGTGGTGAACTCGGTGGCGTTCAGCCCCGCCGACCAGGAGCTGCTGCTGTCCGCCAGCGACGACTCCACCATCAAGGTGTGGCGTTCGCCGCGAATGATCCGCCTCGCGCAGGCCTCCGCCCGGCCGCCCAGACCACGCAGCCTCCTGCCGTCCTGGCTGAGCCGCAGCAAGAACTCCTGCATCAACGGAAAACCATGAGTCAGGCTGGAAAACACTTGAAGCGGGAGGGGGAAGCATGGTGAGGAAAGTCTGATCTTTTCCCTTTGTGGTATGAATATATACACACCCCATGTATGTGTACAGCGTGGGCACAGTCTGTTGTTTTCGCTTGAGCTCACGGTGTCGTGACCTAAAGCAGTGACTGATTCAGCTGACAGGAAACGATAGCGGCTCAGACACAAGGGGGCGCTGTTGTGCCAGCAGAACTGACTGCAGACAGAAATGATACGCAACGTTAACACAGGTAGAGATGTAGAGAGTGTAGAGCTGACGCCTAAACACAGATGCCCAAAAACTGCTCCCCTGAAAGATGGTTGTTCTCCTTTTTTTTTTTTTTTTTTTTTTTTCTTTAAAAAAAAAATCAGTAAAGTTGCGTCCGAACAGTTTGGACTCCTGGATGTGACGTACACATGTATACAAAGGTCCTGCTCCTTTAGGGCAAAGTGCAACTGAGAATAAGCTGAGAAATGTTCGTTTTCCTATCAGCGGCTGTATCCAATTGACGTCTCGAGTTAAAAGTTCCTCATAAACGCTTTTCTCAAAGATTTTATAAAAGAGTATAAAACGAAAAGGGAAAAGGAGTTTGAGCTGCATTTAATGCGGTCTGCTTTTTTTGTTTGTTTGTTTTGTTTGTTTGTTTGTTTTTTGTCTGTGCCCGGGAAATGATTCATCACTATTCTATTAAATGTAGAATTACTGAGCAGTTTAATATAAGAGGAACCGCTGGCTGTGAAGAAGAGTTGTTTGTGTAGCTGAGTGTTTATTGGATCTGTATAATATAAAAATGTATTTAAACCCTTTTCATTCATTAGCATCACAACGCTGCACCCTTTATTTTGCAGAATTTTGTTAATTAATTTTGCTTTTCTTATTTAGCAACATATTGTGTCCCCCCTCTGGAGAAAGAAACTTTACAAGTAGAGCCTTTTTAGGCAATTACCTAAATCAGGGATGTCAAATTCATTTTATGCTGCGGGCCACTTTGATCTGAAGAGAACCAGACCAGTAAAAACATTTAAGTAAACATTTAATCCCTGACATTCAACACTACATGATCGTTTTTCTACATGATAAATGTGTAAAATTGCAGAAAAAGTGGTAGCACGTTGCCCAGACTGTCCTGTATTTATAAAACGTAAAGGTTTTGTTAATTACTCTTTTGTTAAACTGTGGACCCACGTTTTTTTTTTTGTTTTTTTTGGTTGATAGTGTAAAAACAGGAATCTGTTACTTAACTGCTTTGGTGTGGTATGAATGGGGGAGGTCTGTGTGAGTCAAAAAAGCTGCAAAACTTATGAAAATACAGTAAAAATTTCCAAATCTATGCAATCTTTTCCAAAGCCGTCCATTGAAGTCTTTGCCGGGCCCATTATGGTCCTCAGGCCTTATGTTTGACACCCCGACCTCGAGCTCCAATTGGTCCTGTGGATTTTAAATGAAAGCCGCCGTTCTCCAGTTTGTCCACAGACTGCTGAACAGTGCTGTAGTGTATAAATAACTAATGTATCTCCTTAAGGATTAGAAGGCAGTGTTAATCTTTATTTTAATGTGGCACACATGTAACTTTTAATATCACTCTTTATTTTTTAAACATTAATATGCTGTAATAAAGATATTCAGTGGATTTCATGTTGTAACTTACGTTGCGTACCAGTGCCACAGACTTTTACCCAAAGCAAAGCAATAATGAGTTTCATGGACCTTTCAGGTTGCACAAGTGGCGCCTATTACTTGAAATTAAATTCAGTTTAGAAATGCTTAAAAATATTTTGACTAATTTTATTAGTCTTTTTTTGGTAAGTTGACAAGAAACAACAGATTAAAAACACTTCCACAGAAACAGACAGAAAGTATAAAGGACTGAAGACAAATTGTGTTGAAATGTCTGTTGGTATTTACATCATACTTTAAGTCCCCTTTGAGGTGCTTTTGCTGGTAAACACAAAGCAAAACAAAAAGTAACGCATGGTTACAGCTACAGTTCAACCAGCACAAAGGTACTTTACTGGCTTCTTATTTACATTTCCACGCAGATGCCTGTTTAAAGAGGACGTGACTGATTTTAAAACATGGCTTTAATTATGATTGGGCGACTGTTTCACTTGTTGACTTTTCAGAATCCCCTGTGAATCCGACACTTGAACAAGCAGGTTTCATTCAACTGAACAGTGTTTTGTTTTTTTCCCCCATGTTTTTAAATTTGTTTAAAAAGTCACAAACTTTCTCCTTTTTTCCCCCCGAGCTCCCCTTTCACTTCCTCCTCATCACACTGTCATGTTTTGCCAATGTTTGCTTCCTCATGATCATTTTTTTCCAGCTTGTGTTCTTTTCAAAACCTCCACGTTAATAAAGCGCATGCCCTGCAAATCCAGAAAACTGAACATGTGTCAGACTGATATTCTTTTCTGCCAATAAAATGTTGCTTTCTTGTGCAGTTTTTGATTAAAGGTTTTGAAAAGAGAGCTCAATGCATGCTTAGCCTTATTGTTATTGCCTGTTTGCAAGTATTTGTCAGTTAATGAAGTTTAGAAATCGACCCTGAGCGCTCTATTGGTGCAGTTTGAGTTTTCTCCAGTATCAGAGTCAAATCTAAAAATAGACACATACTACACAGGCATATTTTTAGCTTCTGTGTGAATTAAATTTTCCATCAAAGTGTCAATGCCGCTTACTAATAGTCATGTAGGGGGGAAAAAAGTACATCCCTGGTAACTGTTGTCTCTATTTTTGACATTTTTAGACATTTTATTTTTGATACAGCACCTACAGCACAGATAAAGATGATATATGTGAACCATACAGCAGGGAAATTTAGTTGTTTTTTTTTGTTTTTGTTTTTTAAGTAATTCATGAAATAATTTTATCCTGTGCATCTGAACTTGTATTGCCCACCTTTTCAGACAGCACTGGGCTTCTTGCACATTACCTACAGGAGCTGCGTCATGCCCTGAAGCCCCCGGCGCACAACTCTTCTGCTGATGCCGCAGGAGGTTTGGAGCTCTGCAGTTAGTGAGTCAGCAGAGAGTTGGTGACTTTTCTGTGATTTTTGCACCTCAGTCCTCAGCAGACCCGTGCTCTTTGACTTTGCGTGGTCTGCCACTTCATGGTTGAGTTGCTGTGGTTCCTAAATGCTTCCACTTTTCAGTAACACGACTTATAGTCAATTGGAGAGTATCTAGGAGGGGAGAAATTGCACCGACTTGTTGCCTTAGAGCATCACCCTTGAATTCAGTATGATCTTTAGAAAGACTCATTCATTTTTGACAGATGTTTGTAAAGGCAGACTGATCAGCTGGGTTTTTGATTTTCTTTATCTGAGGTGATGGGACTGAAAAGAGCAGAATTAAAATAGCACAGTCTTTAAATATTTCATCACCTATCTATAATATCATCTAAAAACTGGAGAAATCTTTTATGCATAAAGGGTCCTGCATGATTTGGAGCAACACCAGTTTTTACACAACTAGGATCCTACGTATATCAGACAAGAACCAGAAAGAGCCCAGTAGCTGGTCTGCTCGCTTCCAGATGTTGACAGAAGAGGGGATGTTGTTGCCATCAAATTCAAAATGAGCTCATGTTTTTCATGCAACAATAAAATGTCTGTTTAAACATTTAATATTTTTTATGCTCTATGATAAATTAAAAAAAATGAGTTAATGAGATTTACAAAGTCACCGCATTCTGTATTTATTTAAATTTCACACAGTGTTGCAGATTTTTTAGAATTCACTTTGTATATTTAGATATTTGACAGCAAAGTGTCGCAACTTTACTTTAGACTACATCTCTAAAACATTTCAACTAGAACAGTTTCTAGTTCCGTGGATTTGTGATAAGTAAGGGGCTTTACTTTTGTACGGTTTCAGTTTTGTGTCATTTGTTTAGCACTCACTCTTGGTCACCATCTAAGAAACGATACACGATAACTCTGGGTGAGAACAGAAGCATCAACCAAAGTGTATCAGTTATAGCTGTGTGTAGGTTAGTGGATCAACAGTTACCGGCAATAACTAATTTCAGTTATAAGGGGGCTCGAAAAAAATAAAAATAGGTCAAAAACATGGCACAGCTGCACTTGTTGTGATATCATCTGGTGACCTCACAGCCTCTGACTTTGAAGATTAGATTAGAAAGTGCGTCACCATCTAAATACTTGAGAATCTAACCCAGGGGCTTTCAGAAGAAAGATTTTCATTCCTCACGTAGTCATCGATCACACGTGCGCCGTCCCTCTGGCAGGTTCTTTCCAACCACATTTATCTCAACCATGATGAGGCATTTCCACAGCCTCAGTGAAGACCATCACTGGCATGTATAATGAGTCATTTTGTGTTCTTCTATCATGCTAGTGGGGTTTCATTTTTGGTGAACATGCTTTGTGTGGTGAAGCTGATGTGACTGACATGAAACCTAAAAAGTGGCTGAAACATGGTTTAAATGGACTGGTTAAAGTAAAGGGGTTGCAGTTCTGGTTTTATTTGTAATTCAGCACACTGACATGCTACACATTAACACAGTCAACATTTTCAGTTTTCACCTACGTTAGCCTGAGGTACAAAGGCATTGCTGAGGCTGCTGGGAAGCAGAGTGGTCTTAAATTTCATAATCCAAGTGAAACATTTCACTCGTTCTTAGGAATTTGTTCAGTGAGCTCAGTACCTTCAGATCTACAAGGTCTGAGTGGAAGAGGTTGTTATTAAACTGTCATACACTTACATTGGAAACTCTTTGGACCTCTATTAGAGCCTCACAGAAGTCAAAGGTGCAACAACAGGACAGCTGTGCACACTGCTTCTGCTGATTTGGGCATTCACCAAAGCAGGCTTTGTGTTTCTTTGCAAGGCAGGAAGGCCGGCATATGTTTTGCTAAACAGGCTACTTAAACTTGGTTTTATGTTCACACTCTGCCCTAAAACGAATAAAAGTTCACACATTTCCCATCATTTAAAGCGCCTCCTTGACGACAGAATGGGCTGACGAGCACTTTGGATATCAAACCTTTTATATGTGAAATAGCTGGAGTTCCCCTAGAACAACGTGAAGCAAGGAAAAACAGGTACACCACATCTATATTCACAACAAACACAGCTCAACAAACACAGCTATGTTCCTTTGCTTTCGACACTGCAGCGTGGTGCTTGGGTTTTTTTTCTTCTCTTTAGCGCCCTTGCTAGTTTGCATCATCCGTTTGTTTTAGGAGAAGGCATCAGAGTTTTACATAAAAGGAATCACCTGTAGTGTTATGTGTGTGTGTGTGTGTGTGGGGGGGGGGATTTTCACATTCACACGTGGTTATTTTAGGAAAAAAAAAAAAAGACAAATATAAGAAAACATGTGGTTAAAAAAAAAAACCCTTTTTTTGTTTACAAGATATGTTTGACTTAAATTATTTGTGGTGCTTACACCCTTGTGCCTACATTTCACGTTGCTACATCCAACAATTATTAATTTTTAATAATGAATTAATCATGTTTAGGTATAAACAGGATTAAAAAAACAAGTCATAAACAAGAAGACAAAAATAAAACAAGGAAATAGTATTGTTATGCTTTAAATGAACTTTTAATTAAAATCAAATAGAATTTTGTGAAATTTTATCTTAAATGAAACACACAAAAAATGGTTAAATTAATAATGTACCTATGGTCAAATGGTACTTTAGCATCCCTTAAAACACTTTATAAATAATCACCAGTCATCAGAGTCGTGAAAGATTCAAAACTAACTTTATATGATTGAGTACAGTATGAGTACAACTGATCAGGCATTATAGTTAGCAGTAGCACTGACATAATACAATAAAGTGTGTACATGTATATATTTATTTATATATTTGCTACTCTGTGTAACAGTAGATGCTTCAGGATTATTTAGTAATACAGTATTAAGGGATTATTTGAAACAGGCTACATATTTTATCATCGTTTTATCCCCTTTAGATTCATTTAAAATTTGATATAAAATGTTTACCAGATCGAGCCGTTTAAGTGACAAGTGCACGCACCACGACCTCATCAACACGAGAGCTTTGATAATCTAGTATTTTTGATTCCTTTCCATCAGTGCTTGTTTGGTTGTCATTGGTCGTTGTTTTCCTATACTGCATGAGAGCTAACACAGGCTAAAACTAAACACATCTCCCATTTGTCTAAGTATGTGCCTGTAAAAACTAAAACATTTTATTAGAACTAGTTAACTTTAATTATCTCGAGCCATAAATAAATAGTAACTGGAGATAATCTCACAGTGGTGGAAAAAACAAAACACACACATACACACTCCCACAAAGCTAAATAAGGTGTATTATATCTATTATGATATTAGGCTGCTTATAATATAAGAGATAAATTATCGTCTACAAGATGCAATACAGATATAAGGAGGGTAACATCAGGATAACAGATGACTTCAGACCCTTTTTTCCTCAGAGAGCTTTTCTCAGCTCTCACCGCTGATTCACTGATTCACTGCAGATGGATCCTCGGAATGAGTGCAGATGTCACATCGCACGCCCTCAAGGTGTAATGACATCCTAATGATGCTTTTAATGTGATAATATATAAATATAGTAACCTATATGATAATAACATTGTATTTTTGTCATATATATATATATATAATTATTATTATTATTATTATTACTGTTATTATTAATATTACTATTAAAATGATTCATTATTTGGTTTAGATTTTTGTTTCTGTGTTTTTGTATTTTAAAAAAACAAAACAAAGCAAAACAAAACAAAGAGTTTTTTGGTGTTACTTCCACAGTACACCCTTATAAGCCTGTCAGGTCTACAATGGCTTTAATGAAAATTGTATCATCTCTGAGGTAAGGGCTCTTTCCGGCCAGTTTGGCCAGCGGGCAGAAGAGTGGGCAGCCGCTGGCGATGTTCATCTCACTGATCGGCCGCTGGAAGGATGAGGAGCTGACGTCTGGTCGGAAAGCATCGATGATGTGCTCCCTGTTGTTCTGATCCAAGAGCATCAGAGTCACCTGGCGGGGAAGAAGAAGAGAAGAGGAGTTGGTTTCGTGCCGCTCATTGAGAGTTTCGTGCGTAAACGTATTAAAATGGTTCCCCACCTTCTGACTGAACGGCCACTTGAGCAGGGCGTCGCACTTTCCCCTCATGACGACGAAAAACAGCGAAAGGTGCGTTCCCCGGCCCGTCCCGTCACCATTCAAATACAACCTTAGACACATTTTGTAGCCATATTTGCTGGAGTAAAAAGCTGCGTGGAAAAAACAAAAAAAAGAAGGGTCAGAAATGGAAACGGAGCCTAAAACAGCATCATGTGAAATCAGCAGAGCCATGCACGCTCCCTGAAGAACAACAAGGGTGTAGCGGCGTGGAATTCCCCTCCGTCTACACGCCAGAAGATAATGTCATGTGAACTGTATGACCTCAAAACAAAACAGAAAAATCCCTCTCACCTAAAAGCATACCACACGTGATGTTTTTCCATCCTACCTGGTGAGAACATTGCAGGCGCTCGACCAGCCACGGCATCCTGCCTTCGGCGCGAGAAGTCGGAGATTTTCCAGACGAATACTCCGTCGTAGGTGCAGAACTGGAGTTCGCGCATCAGCTGTTCGGTCTCAGACAGCTGCAAGTCTCTCATGGTCAGCGTCCTCTCCAGCTGTCGGACTTTGTTAGACAGATTTTCAATCTTCTCTTGGTCTAAGCGGTGTTGGTGTGCGAATGCTTCCATTGTAACAGAACTGCGCTCCACCTCGCGGTTCAGGACGCACACGATGTTTTCTAAAGCGTTCACCTGTTGGTGAAAGAAAAAAAAAAAGAAGAAGCAACAAATGATTACTTTCCCATTTCACCAAATGAACAGAGTGGTTACAAGCGACATCAAACCTGCTGAGACTCACTTTTTTTTCCAGGTCAACAGACTGCACCGAGGTCATGGGCCCGGCTCCCTCATTAGGATCCCTGTACAGGCCCACTCCGGAGTCCTCCTGCCACTCCCCAGCACCAGAGCCCTCTGAGCGAGCCCGAGTCGCTGACAGCACCAGAGGCAGCAGCAGACGCAAGTGCTCCATAGTACTGTTGAACTCGTGGTCACAGAGCTTCCCGTTCTCTACCTGACACAGAAACACGGGAGAGCTCGTCTAAGTTTTATTGAGACAAAGGTCAAACCAGTTAGTTTTGAGCTGTGGTGTCCAGTTTGTGCCTTCAGTAGGACAAATTTAGCTCTAGGTGTGGTGACTACCAAACTAGGCGAGTGGCTCCAGCAGTTCCCAGGAACAACATCGGAGATCTCTGTCCACAGAGTGCAGTCCTAGGAACAGTTAAGATACTGCACAGGACCCTCAAGCTCCCAGGCCTCCGGTAGAGGACCCAAGCTTGAAGGATAGACCGGATAGCGGGGGCAAGCGGGGAATGTTTTATATATTTTTAAACAGGTTTCACTTGAGTATTTACATGCAGCTTCTTTTGTTCTGTTGGCTCAATGAAAGTAAACCCAATTTAGATAAAGCTTAAAATAGCTCTAAGTATGTGTCTGGAGGCCTTTTAAGATGCCTGCTGAGTAGTGCTGATTGCTTCTAGAAGAACTGAAGAAACAGCCTTATCTAACCTTTTAGACGGCTTCCTGGCAGCATGAGCAAACACCTCCTTAACTGCCACGATAGTTTGATTCAAAGGTGCCTAAGCTCTCATTGGTGCTTGGGTATAATATCATATCACATCACATTTGCCAAACTGAGCTCAGCCAACTTTAAACTACTGACGAAAGCACAGAGCGCGAAATATCTCATGTGAAAGGGTCACGTGACTAACCTCAGGGAACACATTAGGAAGAAGGAGATGAGAAAATGCATTTAATAGCATTAAGTCTGCTCTGCAATGACACCAATTTATCCAATGACCCCCGCCGAAATCTTTTCTGTGTGCAACATATTCTAGCTTTCACGAGATAACTCACATCTATCTGTGCTCCAAATACAAAGCAGCTGGTGGGAGATGATTAGCCTTGTTTAGTTGGAAACTCCCTGGCTCTTTTGGAAGTTAAACCTCTAACAGTGGTTTTAGACTTCTGTGTTAAATCTACGCTCCTGAAACCCTATAATCAGTATAACTACACAGTCTGCACAGGTATAAATACTGGAAACAGCGTGTGCCGCTTACGTAGGCTACATCATACGCTCTACACAGATTCACGGCATACATCAGGCACAAAGCAGCCACTCATATCTTATGTTGATGTAAAACAGAACAGTAAAAACACCAAACAGTGATGCTGTGACTTTAGCCAGGCCAGCTCCTTCATCTGATTTCAACTTCATAATTTACTTACAACAGGAAAAGTATAAGCCACATTACTACCTTACTGTACAGGACATACATTTAGACTCCTTATTAAACCACAAATAAGCATCGAAATGAGAAAAATGAGTTCGATCACACTGGTCAACCCTCTACGATAAAACATAAAACAGGAGTTTTGGTGATTATGTAACTGCACCTACCATAGACTTGCAGCCCACTTCACTGAATGGACACGTGCTCTTTGACTTGGCGCAAGACTTCACATGATCATTGAACTGAAATGCAGAATGAACAAAGAGAAAAGACCATTTATAAACAGTGCATCAACAGGAAAGTGGAAGTGAAGGACTCCTAGTCAAAAAGAAACTAAGTATCATAAGGAGACTGCCCTAAACCACTTAGATTACATTGAAGGTAACGGCGCTAACCTTTTCTCTTGGTATCTTCTTTTTTCCACAGTCCTTGCATTGCATGGGAAACTTCAGACAGATCTCATCATGGGCCTGAAATGCATCGTATAGCAGAACGTCACTTTGTGTCCATTAATGCCAACAAAGAAGAAGAAAAACAAAAAACAGTGTATTTTAGTGTAGTCTCTTTATGTCCCACCTTTATCTCTTTGAAGTTGAAGGTCATTTTGCAGTACTTGCAGTTGAGAGTTCTTGCCTCGCATTCTCTCTCATTGTGTCTGTCCTTCTCCGTGAGAAGGATAAGGGTTTGGCAGCCCTCGCACAGGATCCGCTCGAATTCACAGCGACCTTCGTGCTGAGCCTGAAAATAACAGACATTTTTTATTTGTTATTATTTTCGAACTGCCTGTTTGTTACTTGTAAAGCAGGTTTTCAGCATTGTGAAAGAGCAAACTGACAGTTGGGTCAAACCCTTCCCAATCACTGATAAATAACCGCTTTTCAGGAAGTGTTTAAATGCAGGTGTAGCTGCTCTGGTACAGGGTGTATCCTTAGCTTCTATGTGGAAAAACAAGTGTTTTTTGTTTTGTTTTGTTCTTTAAAAACACAAAAAAAAAACCAAAACACCTCCAACTGACAAAAAAAGTGAAAGTAAAAGCACAATACACTGATTTGAGTATGAAAGAGATAACTACGGTTCTATGATTGCGCACACGATTGTGATCAAGATTATTTTGATATTTACTTGTTTTTCATTGCAACCCCCATTATATACACTTTTCTTACTTTCGAATGACATGCTAAGCAAACGAAATTTAAACAAAAAGCGAGCTCCACAAACATCTGATAGGAAAAAAAAGGGATGAAAATGTACCATAGAAATAGAATTATAATGAAGAGAAGATAAAAGGGGAAGTAGAATAATTAAAGAAATATATTTAAAGCTGTGCATTCGCCATTTAAAAATACCGGGAATCACGCAGACGGGGTGGAGCTTAAGGTGGGGTTAATCAACAGGGAAGTTGCAGTCTTTCAGAATGACTACCAAAGGCATGCTGCAGACCCAGAAGCAGAAGCTCAGGTACGTTAGCCGGTTTTTCGCTTTGACTGCTGACTTTCCAGACTTGCTACGCTCAAAAATCTTGAACCGGATCGCGTCAATAAAAATGACTCACATTTAGAAGATTCCTAATCTCATCCCTGTCCTCGGCACAACACTCCAACGCCTTGATGTGACTATTTTTTCCCCAGCTTCAGAAGGCCTCGCTATGGGTGTGTGCGACTAGCAATTTGTAGCTTTTCCCACACAGTGACAGTGACTAAGATACCAGGCCAAAAATATATGCAAAGTGGGTGTATCACACAGCATAATAGTTTGCGAAGCAACAATAAGAGGTTGGCATGTTTTGATCTTTTGGTGTCTTCTTTTTTATTGTGTTTTTTAATAAGAGGAAGATTCATCTGCGTGCTAGTGCTTGGGATTCCATTTCCAATCCGTGCAAATCCCACACATTCGCCTAGCGTTTTCATTTAAACAGCATATCATTTTAACATTTCCCAGGTGAAAAACACACACACGCGCACATACATGCACACTCACAAAGTGATGTAGATTAGGTCACACTGGTACGCTTAGTTAAAACCACAAACAGACAAGAATTGTTGTAAACATCCTTTTCACAGTGTAAGCATCATGGTGCCATCTGCTTACTACACAAACTACGTAGCTCATCTAAAACTGATGCTTACAGTAGAAACACAGCTGCAGACAGACACACACACACAAGGCTCAGTCGCACACACACTAACCAGCTTTATTTACTTCACGTGTCTTTCATGCATTTTTACAAACTCCAGTCTGTGTTCAATGAAATCTGGGTTTCTGCTAAACTGAATGAATACAAGCAGTTTCCTTAACAGCTCTATAGTTTAATGGTCAGTAACCCAGTCACGCTAAGCTCAACAGGGTTGTTCCATTCTGGTACTTTCCACTGAGCTTTTGTTGATAAATGAGGAGAGGCTGGGACTTTCCAGCCGCCTGTTAAGTTTCACTTCCTGTTTGCAGCAACGCAGCACATAGTACAGAGCGTGCTATGAAAGCTGAGCATTTTTCAGGGAACACAGTGACCCGGGAACGCAGATTATAGGTCAGATTACCCTCTCACGTAGATTAATAAATACTGACAAGGCTCTTTTTTGGTAGTGTAAACCTACACCCAGGTAAAAGGCAGCAATGCCCATGCCACAGGAAAAGACAGATTTCATACTTTACCTCATACTCTTTAATAGATCCAGTCCAGTTACAGCCCTGGTTCAAACACCTGGCTGGCAGGCTTGCTATTTCTCGGCCTGCTGCATTGTCTGGGAAAGCCTGTGAGGTGTGTGTGTGTGTGGGGGAGAGGGAAAAAACAAAGAGATCAGTGAACTCATAAAGCCTTCAATGCTCTTAAAAGAAAGCAGACAAGAGTAGGATGCATTGATGCATTGTGTGGTTAGGGAAACCCCCGCCAGATTGCAGTCATATTTTTTCCTCTAAAGGGCAGTAATCACATGCTGACTACTCCTAGCATAACAAAGACAGTGGGTTTGAAACCTGAATACATATAAAGGCTTACCTCACTGCTGTTTAGAATGGAAATGGGTTCCTCGTATATCTCCTCTTGACGGCAGGCTTCACATGGCTTTGGGCCAGAACTACCAAACAAGACAGGTTTGTGACTTTACTGTAAAAGCAGCGGCTCGACGCTAACAGTCAGCAACAATTTCCTGCTGATCCAAAACTGCAGCAACTGCTGACCAGTGTGGATCACAGCTCGAGCAGAGGAACGTTTAATCAATACAAGGGAAATGAAAAGAAGCTTGTAAGCATCATATCAGTGGGACAAGAAGAAAAAAAAAAGAACTAAAAACAAAAAAAGTTGCTTTAGCAAGTTTGAAGGCGATTAAATGAATAACCAAAACACACACACAAGCATAAACAAAGGGCACGTGTGGGTGCGACACATCACATGGTGAATTTATAACGTACATGATCTGGTTATTTTGAAACAAATAAAAGCACTCGGACAAATCACATGCGAAATCCACACATTTCACAATCACTTGTGTTACTGTTGTTTAAATGTTTGGGGAATTAACAAAGAGTCTGCCGGTTTAAAAAAAAAAGAAAAAAAAGGTAAAATTCCACATTTTCTGTCACATTTTGTTTAATTATACTTTCATTAAACATTAGATAACACATAACTGAAACGGACATCAACTAGAAATGAATTAGTGTATCCATGTATGTATCTGTAACGAATACACATCACAAATACTCATTACAAATACGTTGGTGTGACACCTCTTTGTACTTGTAGTGAATATTCAATACAAATCCAGCGTTTTTCCTCATGTATTAGTTTTTGTTAATATTCTTTACGATTACTCTGTAATGAATTTGAATACATAAGGCAATGAAAACACTGGATTGGGTATTCATTACAAATACACCTCATGCATTAACAATCCACCAGTGTGTGAATGACTCAGGAAGGAGGTTTTAGAAAGAAGACCTTTAGAATGAATCAGCAACACCACATCCTTGTGATTCACAAACATCAGTATGACAGGTCCATCATGTGGGGCATGAGTCTGCATTAATAACTGATCTTGTCTGGACAAAACTCCCAGAGTTGAGGAAAGATGAGGAAAGGGTGTGCTGAAGCATGTCCAGTAAGACAGGAAACATTAGGTGCGGGGTAAGCAGTTTGGTCTAAGGACCTCCGGTCTACCTGGTGAGCTGCTTGAAGCAGTGTACACAGAAGCGGTGGCCGCACTGAGCCTGGACAGGTTTCCTCAGGACCTGGAGACATTGCTGACATTTATATTTATTTTCCATGGGCACTGACAGGACACTGAGGGGAATCCCTGGTAAAGAGTTGGGACAGTCCAAAGAAATACGGGCCATTCTTCTCCATCAATCTGGTGCTATATCCTGTTAATGAGAACACAGAGAAACAGCTGTCAACAACCAGGCAGGAACTAACTGCAAAGATGGAATATAAACTCAAACTAGCAGTGAATTACCCGCTGGCAAGCTTAACTATTTAAAAGATCACCATGAGAATCTGTGTGACCCTCGAGGAAATATTTGTCCACGCTACTGTGTAAGTCTTGGCACAGCCAGCAATGCCACACAAAAAAAGAAAAGCATGGTAATAATATTCAAAAATATGGAAAACCCTGCTTAACACTGCAACGGCTGAAACAAGATCAGCAAGTCAAATGACTTGAAGACATAGGTACTTTTTCTTTTTGAGTTATCAGAAAAAGTCTTGTGATTGGTGGGATAAACATAGCTGTGAGAGAAGCAGCATCAGGATATACAACCTAATCTATTTAAACACGTATCTAAACCCGTTTAAAAAAAATCCCCTGCTTACAAAGAGCTGAGTAACTTTAAACTGTAGAACTTGGTTTTGTTGTACAGCATTTCCAGATAATAATCAGATAAGCATATTTCTACTGAGAAATACTAGTGAAATATTTCTCACTTTAATGCGGTGTGAAATGCAAACACAGCATTTACACGAGCTTTGCTGACATCTTTTGTACTTCACAGAAACGATGATGATGATGCCAGGCATCAGACAGCATAGCACATGTATTTTGGGTCTTTCCTTTAAATACTTTTCCTGCAATGCTGTCAACATTTCTCACCCTCCACAAATAGTTTCTGTTACCTTTGTTTCAGTTTCAAGCTCGCTTTAAAGCGTTAACACTAAAAGATCACTTAAGTCACGGTTTCTTACAGGAATGGCACTTATAGGGGTGCTGGCCACAGCTCCACCATGTGCTCAATTTGAGTAAGTTTAACTAAGTAATAGCGGGTACTGAAGGTACAGTGAAACACAGTGGCATAAATTAAAGGACGAGAAAGACGCAGACCCTTTTAAAAATCGTTTTAACATTAGCTACTTAAGTCAAAGTTACCATTAACCGTGTTAAAAGACTAAGACCCAATTACACTGCTGCCTGTTTTCCCAATTACCCCAATTAGATGTTTGATGCTTCACCAGATTACACAATTTGTGTCTTGACTTTTTCAAACCATGTTGCTGGCATCAAATTCACAATCAGCTCAACTTTAAAACAAAACTAAATTCTGTTCAACATGTAATATCTTTGCATTTTAAAATATAATGTCCAGCAAAAATTTCCAATCAATATCTGGGCTTTACATGAATTCAATTTTTAAATGCATTAACTTGAAGCTCCTTTTTGAATATATATTCTACAAGTGGAAAAGGTTTGCCAGCACCCTCTCTCCACACACACACACACACACACACACACACACACACACACACACACACATATACTTTATATTATTTTATACCTGGTTAAATTAAGGCACCAAATTTAGGTTAAAATACCTCCTTTAACTGTGTTCAGTATGTCTTAGAAATTATCAAGAGTTATATTCTGGCAATCAGAAGATGGTAAACATATTTTTTACATTTACATTTAAACAATATCTTCCCTCACTAATTCTAACTGTTTAAAATCATTCTTCCATTAAAGTACTTTATGGTAGGAAATCATTTTAGACTGAAATCTGTGAAGAAAAAAGTGAATAAAGAAAATGCCCAACTGGCAGAAAACTCACCCCACCTGGTTCACAGACACCAGAATATTATGCACTGTCTGCTTCCTAATCACTTATCACTGCCAGTAATAATCTGGCACAGTTCACCTCACGCTTCCTACATTTGTCTACCTCAGACTAAAATCACAGCATATAGTGGCAGCTATTTCACCCACTGCATAAAGAACAGCACCAGGGCTTATTTTGTCTTTGCAAATATCCCTTCTGTCACAAATTTCTGTAAATGTTTATTCTGTCGGTATTATGCAATTTTTTTTATTTATTTATATATATATATATATATATATATATATATATATATATATATATATATATATATATATATATATATATATATAAAAAAATTCCCTTGTGAAAAAATGTGTGGGGAATGTCTAGTGTTTGTTTTTCCCATAACCAGCAGATGACAACTCTTACTGATATATTTCCTTACTGATATATTTCATATATTTCCACTGCATGTGTAAGTGGGTTTTACAGGTGTATAAATTATATATAATACACGCCTGCATGTCAAAGAAAACTTCAAGGAATGTGGACAAAGTGCACCTTTGCATGTCACAAACTTGAAAATATGGTTGTTTAAGTTTGTGGTGTTTGTAGGCTTAAGGTAATATGTGGCAAAAGCCACACAGCTTAACACTGCTGTCTCACCATTCAACCATTTATGTTCTTAAGTCAAAGCAGGTGCTAAGGTGAACAGAACAACACCCATAAAGTAAATGTTAATGTTTAACTAAATGTGAATGGTGTATGCAATTCCAACAAAACAGCTCAGGTTTTTCCCCACAAAGAAATAAAGTGGTAAATTCCAAATTGTGTCTACAAAACAGCACCACTCCTGATGGTCACGAGTTTTCAATGAACTTTTTGCAGACGTGGTCTCCAAGCAGAACATATCTGAATCGTGTTTTCAGTGGATTTTTCCTTAGACCAATTTAGATCCTTTTCAAACAAAGCAACTAACTTTCATGGGGGGAAGTAAGACCACACAGAAAGTGGATGTTGAATCAAAAGATAGATGCAAGGAAAACCCCTATGTTTTAATTTCAGTGGGAGTATTAACACTGAAACTGGAAATAGTTCATCCAACTCCAATACATCACTCAATAAATAAATAAACATAATATATGTAAATCCAAATACCCATAGCTAAAAAAAATAAGAAGCTTTGTGTCCTTCCTACAAACTCATCTACAAGAATTTTTTTTAGATGAATCACATTACAGCCAAGATCAGCTTACTGTCTAAAGATCCAGCTTTTAGAGTTTCATTTCATTTTTATTTATAACTGTGCTTCACATAAATTTAACCTCTTAACTGTTACTTAAATCTTAGAAATTTCTAACAAAATGAAATACTTTGGCATCTTGTTTGTATATGTTTGTTTTAAATCTAGATTTCTGTTGAACCTTTATTTTTAGAGTTTTACTTATCTCACCCTGAATTAGAACATATAGTAATATATGATTTGAATACACTGTTAATAATTTCATATTAAGGCAGGAAACGCTGCTTTTCTTTGGAAGCTCTTTCTTCCCGCGTGTATTTATTTGAACGCAATTCAATTCTGCCACTCACCCCATTCACATTAAATCATGAGTAACTTTTCTGTTACTGGTATTGCGTAAGAAGTTCAAGCCTAACTTCATTCTTACAAAACTTAACTGAAAAGCTGCGGCAACCTGCTGTGAGCGAAAAGGCGTGCAAGCTCGTGTTTGGATAATGTTGTAATTACAACATCAATTCAGCGCGATCACTGGATCGCGTGGAAACTAGTCATAATTGTCAGAGAAACACACAATGAAACACTGTGCATTGAAATATCAGAAACAAGAATTTAAGTTATATAAAAGGTAACACACACGAGGCCTACGTACAGCTAAACCTTGAAAAGTGACCTTTGTCATGTACAGCAGCATAAACTTTTCTGTGAAACGAACAACACAGCCAGCAACAACGAAATAAAGCAACAACAACAACAACAACAACAACAACAAAAAGAATACAAAATTTCAGTCTCAACATTTCAGCTTCTGTCTCAGACAAATAACCACAGCTGCTCTTTAAAGCTACACCCAGCGTTGCTCAAAGCCTAAAAAACATCCTCTTCCTGGGGAGACTCGTCCTCTCAGCTCGCCATGTTGCCCTGCGTGTTAACGCTGAACTTCTGCGAGTTCAGTGTGAAAATGCAGGGTGCTTCAGACCCTTTCTCATACAAAAGCCCAAACCTGAATGTTTACTCACCGAGTTCGCAAAGACTGTCAGTGGATCTTACAGTCGTCACCACCACGGACACTATTTCACCTCGTAACTTAGCTACACCCTTAACACGTAAGCATCGGAAACTACGGTATATAAACCCGGCCAGCGCGTTCAGTAGCAGAGAGCTTAGCCACTGTGATGTAGGCTGTTTAGCATCTATTTTACTAGATTAGCTCCTGTAATATTTTAAATATTATTTTAGAGTTTGGGCTATTGCTTTTATTAAGCAATTGTGTACTTTGGCACGTAAAAAACACTTTAATTATTTTAATGAGCACCTGCGAACTTCAAACAGCTAACATTAAAGTGTGTTTGCTTTTACGACTTATACGTTTACCTACTCAGACAGCTAATTGCTAGTGAGTTATAGGAAGGGATTCACAGCATGCAAACTGACTAACCTTGGAGTCTGGCCTGTTTCTCAACGAGGGGAAAACGCAACTCAACTTAGAACTCGCTCTTTATCATAATTCACGGACGGGTGTGTCACTAAGTGCACTTAGTTTTAAGCTGCTGTTAGCGAGGGCGCAGTAACGGCTGGGGTTTTATATGAAAGCCCAAAGCCACCCCTCTCAACGTAGTTTGGGCTGCTCCGAAGCCGAAAACAAGTGCTCCACTCACGCATGCGTACTACCGCAAAAGAATGTGGCCGCTGATACCCTTCCGATGGATCAACCGGCGGCGACACTGTTTTACAGTTTCTAAAGGTACGAGTTTAAGCAGGTGTCCTCTGTGTTACAGCTTAGTGTTCTTAAAAATAAACCTGGTGGTAAGTTGATAAAGGAAAGAAGTAGTGTGGGAGCCTTGCTGTCAGCATACACCAGGCACAGGGCTACGCGTTACTTAGCAGTATGTCAACCAACTGTTAGCTTAACGTCAGGGAAATGTTCATCATTGTTTACCGAATCACTCTTAAAGAAAACGTTGTAGCAGGCGAACAACACATACACTACACTGGGATGATCTTTTGACACATCATCAAACAGTGCTGAATGTCAGTGATTTATAATTCATATAAATCAAAGTGTTCTCCAGCTTTGTGTCCCATGTGTTTATGGAGCTATCTATGCTCTTGTAGCTCATGCAGATCATTCATGGCGTGTACAGACTCAAAATGTGACGTAAATTAAGCACACGTTTCTGCCAAAACACATACACAAGACAGGACTGTGGCTTTCTTCTCTCAGAAGGAGCCAACATTGTTGTCATTATTGTTTTGTGTTTTAGTTTTTGATTTTATCACTTACGTCAATCAGTTTTTCACTTTAAGTTCAGGTAGGTTTTATTGCTTGAAAATACTTAATTTTACAGGTTTCAGTGTTACTTTTAGTCCCTATAATCTTTGTTACATTGAGGCCACACATTAGAGGAAAGCTTTAGGAAAATCAGTGCAGGTATTACAATAAAAACTCGTCTGATGGCTGAAACACAACCCTCCATCATATCATATGTGGTTGCAGTTAGAATTTGGGATCTCTAACTAATGGAACATAATCTCGAAAAGACTTGTTTATGAGGAGACGGAGACCTATTTTTGCATTATTTGAACAATGAAGGGAGAGAAACACATTAGCTTCATCTATCTATTTATAATTTTCATTTTTAGATTTATTTATATTTAAGCATTATTATTATTATTATAGAAAAGTAATTTTGTGAATGCTATATTCTGCCGCCATAACTGTAAATGTGACAACTGTAATATAACAATGAATGACTAATTTTTTAAGTGTTAATAAAAATTAAGTAAAAAAAAAACATCTTTTGAAAGCAGTTGATTCACATTGTTCAAGACATCCAGAGTCTCAATACACATATCCATCAATGCCTCATCAGCCAAGCTATTATAAAATATTTGCCATACTAACAGATAGTTACTGAGGATATTTCCTCTGTATTTATTTAAATGTAATTTTAGTCAGTTTTCCAGGTTCAAAAAAGTCATTTAATTTAGTTTTAATCTGTTTCAAAAGTCTAGTTTTTATTTTAATTTTACTTAATTAAAACTTTTTTCTTTTTTCCCCTCTAGTTTTAGTTAACTCTAATAACTTTGATGTGCAGTGCAGTCTGTTACTACAAATAAATGATCTGAATGGTTTATCCTGCCATAAAGGTTTTGGTATTTGGACACTCCACTATCAATAATCGGTTTAGTTGTTTTTTGTTATAACAGCAATAGAATAAATATGTCTCTATAGAATAGTGCAGCATTTAATACCACTCCATCTTTTCCGTAGTAGTTTGTGTTCAGCAGCTGCACAGCAGCAGCACTGAGTTTGCAAACATCCACTACGATGGACTGTACCCTGGACATATTCCCACCACCACCGTTCAAAAAGCTCTCTTGTCCATTGGGTCAGGTGTGGCGGCACTGCAAAACCCCTACAGACATGGTGAGACACTCACGTGAGCATTTCCGTGTGCACTGATTTTCTTTCTGTGTGTTAGGGACTATAAATCGGTTAAGATGAGGATGTTTAATCAAAGTGCTGTTTACAAGGTCAGTTATAAACCTTAAAGCACAGCTGTTTTTGGGTTGAGGGGCTTTGGAGTTAACTGTATAAAATTTAGTGCCAAAATTTACATTTGAACTTTTTTGCCTTTGTGTCTGAATCACAGAGATCGGAGCCTAACCTTAATTTACATGTATTTTTTGAGCCAGTGTTTTCACTGTACAAACTGTCTTCTCGATCTCCAAAAAAGAACAAAGTAGCACAAAATATGTAAGAATAAAAAAAGCTGTGTATTTTTGGTATTTTGCTACTTTGAGGAATTCAGGCTTCTTGGTAAAACTGATGTCAGCCAGTCTCCAACTGATAGGGATGTGAACAAGTCTGACCTTGATGTGGCTTCAGATTGTGGGATTGTTTTCCATTTTTCAGAAATGATACCACTGATTAGTTTCTTTTCCCATGTACTGATAAAGCGTTTTGTATTCATCCTCAAGGGCTTATTCTCTGGAGACCTTTAGTACGTGACTTAAAATGTCTTGGAAACAAAAATGAGACTAAATACAAATTACAGCCACATATTAGTTACCCTGAAACTCCAATGAAGGAACAGAGTCATAACACCTGTCAGCTGACATTTAGTGAGGTTTCTCATGACATCCACTGCTTAGTATCGATTCATGTCCAAAAATAAATTGATAAATAAATGGATTTTTTTTTAAAAATGCATTTTTCACAGGCACAGAGGTCTTTCCCAGCTCCGTCTTTAAAGCAGACTGATTAAAAGTTTGTGAAGTTTCTGAGTATTGCTTCCATGATGAGTAAACAGTAGTGACCTGTTTAGAATTAACACATGGTTTCTTTACTGTAAATAAAAATATCGTCAACTTTTCACTGTACTGTCATGATGTTGAACTCGGTGCCCTTGGATTTCATGAAACTCTGGGTACTTTACAGACATGGTTGCAGTCCTGGGGGAGACAACGGGACACCTAGCACTCATAAAGCTCAGGGACAGGATGAGAAATGACCCTGAAGGCTACGCTGTCCTAACGTGAGTCAGTGTGGCAGAACGTCATAGTGCTTTCTGCTTCGGGCACATTAAAAATATGTGTCCTGTCTTCGAAGGACGCTGTTTAAAATGTAAAAAAAAAACAAAACACCACAATGGTGTGATGTGCAAATCTGATAAACCCGTAGTTTATTCACAATAGAACATAGACAACAAATTAAATGTTTAAACAGAGAAAATGTATCATTTTTATAATTTGATGGCAGGAACCTGACTGGGTATAAAAAGAGCATCTTTAAGAAGCAGCATTCCTCAGAAGTAAAGATGGTCAGAGGTTCATCAGTCTGCAGAAAACTGCATCTACAAGTCATTGAACAGTTTCAGAATTAATGTTCCTCAGTGTAAAATTGTGAAAACTTTGAGTTGCTCATCATCAACAGTTTAGTTGGAGAATCTGGAGAAATCTCTGTGCACATAGGCAAGGCCAAAATTAGTACTACATTTCTGGTGTTTTTGGACCCTGGCAGGAACCCTGCTGTCTTCTCTAAGCTATCCATTTAAAGTGGATCGAGGCAAAGACAAAGACAGTTCTGTAGTCAGAAAAATCCAAATTTAGAATCTTTGGGGCGAAAACATGGATGCTGCAAGACTAAAGAGGAGAGCGACTATTCAATTTGTTATCAGCGCCTGCATATCTCTCTAATGGTATGGGAGTGCAACAGTGCACATCTGGAGAGGTAACATCAAGCAACTGAAAGGTATATACAGATTTTAGAGCAATATACGCTCCCATCCAGATGATGTCTTTTTCAGGGAAGGCCTGAAAGCAAGACGATGCTAAAGTGAAAATATGACAAAGAAGACCCAGGACTGCTGAGCAGCTGGAATCCAAAAGTCCAGCAGCTGGTTTCAGTTTTTCACAGTTTAAACATTCTATATGGTTAAGCTTGCATTGCATTAGTTTTTATTTATATTTTACACAGCATCACAGCTTTTTTGGAATTAGTGTTGCGCTTTATTCTTATTTGATTTGATCTTGCAGAGAAAGGCCGAGGATCCGGCTGTCTACGCTCGATCTGACAAAGATGGCTTCGCTGCCTGACGGCTCCTTTGGGAGGGAATACCTCAGATTTCTGGAGGACAATGTGAGTATTTGCTGATGTGATGTGCATATATACTTGTTTTTTTGTGCATTTGTAAACACTTATTGTTTGGTATAAACACGCTTCCTTCCTTCTTCCGTTTTTTAATTTTTCCCTCAGGATGTGACTCCTGACTCAAGAGCAGACGTGAAGTTCGTGGACAACGAGGAGCTAGCTTATGTCATGCAGAGATACAGAGAGGTCCACGACTTGCTGCACACCTTACTGGGCATGCCCACTAACATGCTGGGTGAGTCGAGTTCTGTGTAATCTGAAAATGCTATTTTCTGACATTTACTTTTATCAAAGTAAAGGTTTATTTATAGAAACTTCACAGCCAAGCCACGCATTGTCTTTATATAGTGCATACCTAATTGTATGTCAGTGAGAGTTATTCTGTGCATGCCTGAACAAATGTTTCCAGTTTTACAGCAAAAAGATTTGAACTTCATTTCTTCGCTCCCAAGTTTTCTCATCCAGTTGTCTCTACAAACCTACAAATCTCTAAACATACATTTTAAGTCCATTTGATATAAAGTGTTGACCTGAGTTTTCAGTTTTGCAGGCATCTCCTATTTGACCAATTCTATATCAGAATAAACCTGCCAAAAACTCTGAGAAATAGGGTTCACACAGAAGTTATTTTAATACACTGTTGGCTGACAACTTCTCCTTTTCTTTCTCCTAATTTAATCTTTAATTTGCATGTTTGTGTCCTTTTCTGTGTCTTCCGTTCAGGTGAAGTCGCTGTGAAATGGTTTGAAGCTACTCAGACCGGGCTTCCCATGTGTGCTCTTGGAGCTGTGCTAGGGCCACTACGGCTAAATGCAAGGTATAGTTGGGATAACAGGAGAGTTACAGTTTGACTGACTTGCTGAAATTTCTGTAAGTGCTGGGTTGAGTCTGATTACAGGCTGACGTCTGTTTCAAAAAGCAGCAATAATGTTGAGTTTCGAACTAAACTCCTTATATGATTACATTTTTGTGCAGCTTATGAAAAAATGTGACATCATCAGTGGAGCTCTGATGCCAGGATTCTCCATTTTAATGCAGTATTTCGATTCAATTCAGTTTCATTTATAAAGCGCCAAATCAGAACAACAGTCACCTCAGTGTGCTTTATGTTTTAAGGTAAAGACCCTACAATAACACAGAGAAAAAAACAACAAGATTTCCCACCAATGACTAACAGGATGAAAGAAAAACTCCCTTTTAACAGAAGTAAACCTCCAGGAGAACCAGGCATCTGCTGCTTTCAGTTAGGAATGACACACCGAAGAAAGCCAGAGATTAATAATAACTAATGATACAAATATAAAGCTGTGCTCTACATCCATTACTATTTAATAACAAATCGGTCACATTAAAGGCTAAAGAATTTATATTTAACTGGAACTTCAACATGAACATCGATGCGCTCTGTGGATAGCTTTCATATTAAAGGAAATGAAATCAGAGCTGCCTCAGCAAGAGGGGAAGAGTCAGAGAGAAACTTAGGGCTCAGTGAAAAACCCCACCAGAGCATCTGTTACCTTGGTAACTAACCCAGACTTTAAGTCAGCTCTCTTCCTGCAACAGAAATCTAGCTAAAAAAAAAAAAGAGAGAGAGAAAGAAATCCAGCTATTAAAGATCAGATAAATATTGTTCTAAAAGGGGAACAGCAAGCTCAACAGGAAGGAATTCAATGTTGTAATCAGTTGTTCTCGTGAAATATGAGAATAAAAAGGGAGCCAGAGGGAGAAGTGAAAACCCGGACCACTCTCCAAGTGGAGATGGAAGTGAATGTTAGATTGTAGACAAAAGTGTTCACTCCCAAATCCAAATCATTTTCAGGTGTTCTGATCACTTCCATGGCAGCAGGTGAATAAAATCAAGTACCTAAGCATGCACTCTGCTGTTATAGGTGCAAAGGGTGGGCCAATATGTTAAACCCCATGGATTAAGAATGGGATGTTACTCAAGTTCATATGCTTGTGAAAGTAGACGAGTGAATACTTTTGGCAATGTAGTGTATGTAAATCCATTTAAGTCCATTTCTGGAGTATTTGACGTGTCATTGTTTCTTGAAATAAAAAGCAATAAACCATCTCAGTTACCCAGAAGCCAAACTTGCATTTACTGTCATCACCGAATGACCGCCTCGTCTTTATAACAGTTCTTCACTTTCAGTTCAGCACAATGGAGAAACTAATCGAGATGATCAGAAGTCCTTTTGTACTCAGATTTAGTGGATACAGTGTAAAAAGTCCAAAATAAAACATCTGGAAGCAGTAAAATCCTGTAAGTGACTAAATTGTGCGTGGGTGTGGGATGATGAAATGTATGTGGGCTGTTTTCCTGCAAATATAAAGTCTTCCTCATTTAATACCTGTGAACTTCCTCAGTATCAGGGGACTTTGTTGTTTATTGGCCAGGTTTCCTCATTATTGTTATATGACGCTCTCATCTTCCTTCTTCCTCCTTCTCCCAGTCGTTTACAGTCACTCTTTACATCTTTGGGCCCGTGGGCTCTCCAGAACGGACGGTGTGCTCGCTGCGTCCTCAGCATCTTCTACGAGAGGCGCTGGGAGCAGAGCCTCGAGGACCTCCGGCGAGAGCTCAACATCGAGCCACCTCCTGTCATACCAAAGGCTAAGAAGAAGAAGACCTGAAGAGGGAAAACATAATGAATGTTCTGGAAATTGCTCTACAAGAGACTAAACCAGAAATATGTAAAAGATTCTGTGGAAATTTGTAATGCTGGGGGGAAGGGAGAATTTCCCTCTGCAAAGATTTGAAAAATCTCCTTTCCTGTTTTTCTGGTTTTAACGGAAGATGATCTCAGCTGATGAGACGCTTTTATTTGTGTCTGATTCTGCCATGTAACTAGAATTATTAAAGTTGTTGTAGTTATTAAAACAGGCTTATTTTTTGACGCTAATATTACTTTTTGCTCAGAAGTTGTAACCTCAGCCACTGTGTTTTCTATTGTGTGCATGTGGCAGAGTTCATTGGATACAGTGAAATACATCACAGTGTTTAAGTTGGATTTGTGGTACTTTTACAGAAAGATGTATTTACACAAAATATCTGCACTTGTTCATCTGTCATTGCTCATTAACTGAAACTTGAAATGTGCTCTCAGGGGTATTCTGACTTTTTGTTTTATCGCCTGGTACTTTTCACTTTCTGTGTTCTACAGGGTGGGCCATTTATACGGATACACTGTAATAACATGGGAATGGTTGGTGATATCAAAGTCTTGTTTGTGGCACATTAGTATATGTGAGGGGGCAAACTCCTCAAGATGGGTGGTGACCATGGTGGCCATTTAGAAGTCGGCCATCTTGGATACAACTTTTGTTTTTTCAATAGGAAGAGGACCATGTGACACATCAAACTTATGGTGTGCTTGGTTTCAACGTAACTTTATTCTTTCATGAGTTATTTACAAGTTTCTCTTTGTTCACATTGACATGTCAAAGAGGTTAACACGTGAGGAGCGGATCGAAATTGTGTTGATATCTGGTGAACGCAGTAACTGGGTCATTGCAGCAGATTTCAATGCACGACACCCTACGAGACCACCCATCTCCCATGCTACAGTTAGCAAACTGCTTGCTAAGTTTCGTGAAACTGGTTCAGTGTTGGATTTGCCAAAATGTGGACGCAAGAAAACTTTCACTAATGAAGAAACATCAGTGGCTGTCCTAGCTTCATTCAGCCAGAGCCCACAGCGTAGCACTCGCCGCATGTCACTGGAGAGTGGCATTAATCAAACATCCCTTCGGCGGATATTAGCTACTCACAAATGGCACCCTTACAAACTCCAGCTACTGCAGCATCTCAACGAGGATGACCCAGATCGGTGCACAGAATTTGCAGAATGGGCAAAACAAAAATTGGAACAGGACCCCCAGTTCACGCAGAAGATTTTGTTCAGTGATGAGGCAAACTTTTATGTAAATGGTGAAGTTAACAAACAAAACCACCGCTATTGGTCTGACACTAACCCACATTGGATGGATCCCTCCAAGACTGCTGGAACAACAAAAGTGATGGTTTGGTGTGGTATATGGGGTACAACGATAGTGGGTCCATTCTTCATCAATGGAAACCTCAAGGCCACTGGATATGTGAAATTGCTACATGATGATGTGTTTCCCTCTTTATGCACTGAAGCCTGCATGTTCCCTGAGTTTTTCCAGCAAGATGGTGCACCACCACATTATGGGTGCCAGGTCCGAGCATTCCTAGATGAACAGTTTCCTGGAACGTGGATTGGTCGTCGTGGACCAGTTGAATGGCTCCCAAGGTCTCCCGATTTGACCCCCTTAGACTTTTATCTTTGGAGTCATCTGAAGGCAATTGTCTATGGGGTGAAGATACGAGATGTGCAGCACCTGAAACTACGGATACTGGATGCCTGTGCTGGCATTTCTCCTGCGGTGTTGCTATCAGTGTGTGAAGAGTGGGAGAAGAGGGTTGCATTGACAATCCAACGCAATCGGCAGCACATTGAACACATATGTGTTATAAAATATTTTATAAGTGGTGAGAAACTTGTAAATAACTCATGAAAGAATAAAGTTACGTTGAAACCAAGCCCACCATTGTTTTTCTTGTGACATTACCAATAAGTTTGATGTGTCACATGGTCCTCTTCCTATTGAAAAAACAAAAGTTGTATCCAAGATGGCCGACTTCTAAATGGCCACCATGGTCTCCACCCATCTTGAGGAGTTTGCCCCCTCACATATACTAATGTGCCACAAACAGGACTTTAATATCACCAACCATTCCCATGTTATTACAGTGTATCCATATAAATGGCCCACCCTGTAGAACAAAAAAACTAAACAGGATTATAAAACGAGATTGCAGGTTAGCAAAATCATAGTATGATCCAACTCTGGGAGTCGTGAGGGGGGAGCGAAACACCTCCACTGGGGCGGAGCCAACCTTTCCTAAATCTCGTGCTCAGGTCTCTCATACGTTGTAGTATAACTACAACGTTTTAGTTTTTTTATGTTTTGTTATTATATTGGTCTAAAAATCCCCAAAGGACACAAATTGAAATTGAATTTACAAAACAAAAATAATCTAAAATGCTGATCCGATTGAGCAATACTTTGTAAGGTTATAATACATTAGTGGCCACTTTATTAGGTGCATTTTGCTAGTAGCAGGTTGGCTTTTTTTTTTTTTTGCTTTCAAAGCTACCTTTATACTTCAAGCTGCTGGAAACGGTCATCAGACAATCAACAACACCTGAGTTATTGAGTGTCATGTAGGCTGTAGGGTTTAACAGATCCTCGGTACTACGGGTCTGCAAAATGAACCAATGTATTTATACAATGCAGGATGGATCCCTGACTTCTTGTAGTTCACACCATGTAGTTTTCTGACCCAACCATCTGAATGTTGCAGCACAAATCGAGACTCATCAGAGCAGGCAATGTTTTCTAACCTTCTGTTATCCAATTTTGGTGAGCCTGCATGATCATAGCCTCAGGATTTGGTTCTTCAATAACAGGAGTGACAACTGGTGCAGTCTTCTGCTCGGCAAGTGGTTGTTTGAATTACTGTTTCCTTCCAATCAGTGTCACTCAGAGAACTCCCACACACTCTTTTTCAGATCATTCTCTGTAAACTGTAGGGATGGCTGTGCAGGAAATCCCAGTAGATCTGTAGTTCCTGCAATACTCATACTGTCTGGCAATAACAAACATGCTAGATTCAAAGTAGCTTAAATCCCCCTTCTGATGTTCGGTTTGATAATCAAAAGGTAGCTTTTAGTTGTAAGTAAAACACTGTACATAATAAAGTGGCCATTTAATGTGTAAATATTGCCAATTGTTTAGGGTTTATATAAATGCTAATATTGATCTGATATCCATGCAGTGAGTAATTGCAAAACTGAATGCAGTTGTCAAATGACTGAGGAACAAAAGCACCTGATGATTCATGAACTCTGATGGGGAAAGGAGTGTGTGATAGGGCAGCTGTATTCCTTGACCTTTTGACTGTCTTATCGCAAACTTTACTCTCCTTTTTACAGTAATAACGACACGAGGAGGAAGTACAATTCTGTACACCTGTCGAGCTGTAACGGCCGAACAGAAGCAGCTTTCCTGGTAAAAACATACATGTCAGTGAGGTCACAAGAGATGTTTTTAAATCGTCCCTAATTCACTGCTCAAAAATATAAGAACAGAAAATCTTTGTTTAACTTTTCCAATGTAGTATTTCAGATACAAAATATAATTTTCTTTGGGCAAATGCCTGATTTTGTCTCAGATGTTAAAGTGCGCTCGTTATAAATGAAATTATCCGTTGCAGAAGACACTTTTGTATGCAGAGTCTACGGTCTTATAGTGATTGCTACATGCTGGAAAATTTACTGTGTAAGATTGAAATAACCGTTTGTTTCACATCCTAATGACGAAGCATGATTTGTATGATCAACGGTCTTTGATCAGTCATTGCACAAATATACTGTTGATAAGGTTGCAGCTGCAATCAGCTGAGACTGAAGAAGTCACTTGGATGAGTGACGAAACGTTTCTCCCACTGAAAACGCTACGTCCAGATGAACAGAGTCAACCTTTAGGGATCGCTTTTTGGAGGTTTACATGTTTCCTCTCTGGTGCTCGTGAATGTACAATCTACTTTCCAATTTAGGGTTATGAGGGGGCTGGAGCTAACTCCAGCTGTCACAGAGACAGACACACCCATGACCCATTTGGAATTACCATTTAACCTCAAACATGCATGTCTTTGGATGTCAGGAGACACCCGGAGTACCCAATCACACAGAGAACATAGAAATTCAGCATGGAAAAGCCAAAGCCTGATGGATTCAAATCCAGGAACTTGTTCTGTGAGGCATCAGTGCCAATCACTGCACCACCAGCCACTTGTCTTGGGCAGCCATGTCAGTTTCATTTATCTTAAAATTTGGGGAAGTTGTTTCACAGACTCTCATTGACAGTATGTACCCAGTTTGGGAATATCCTGTATTTTTGCATGACTGACTCTATCCGTGATCCTCACTGTTCTGAGAGGAAACTTGGAGATCACAACCAACATCAAGCTTATGATGTCGGTTTCTAAGGTCGGACAGTGGTGCCCTCTAGTGGTTAAAAAGTAGATGGCGCTTCAGTGAGTGGGAAAACACTCCCTGGCCACTCTGTCAGTCACACCCTGTTAAGCTGCACGCAAATTCAAATATCCGGTCGGTCAATCACATGCCACCAATGCATTAAGATGATAGCCAGTCATGATAGACAGCACACACATTTAAATCTTCATTAAAAACACATTCATTTTCACATTTATTCTCCTTGGAATTTGGCACCAGTTGACATCCTCATCCTTTGTTGTCTGATTTTATTTGTATTTACGTTTTTATTTCAGTTTTTTAATCTTATTTTATTTTAATGTTAAGTATTATATTAAAATTTCCTAATGTTTTAGTGTAATTTTTCTTGTAGCCATATACTTTTAATGCACTTTTACACAGCTGACTTTATTGTTTTAAATGTGCTATGTAAATAAACATGACCTTGACATGATAGGAAGGCAACAGCAATTTAAATAACTACTTGTTATATTTAAAGTATGCAGAAGAGATGTACGCCTCGAAGCAGAAGACCACACCGTGATTTCTGCTGCAACATTCAGATAGGAGTGTCAGAATCTGGTGTAAAGTATATGAAAGCATGGGTCAGGCTGCTGGAGGTGTAATGGTGTGGGGGATAATTTCTTGGTTTATTGTGTTTCCCTTAGTTAAACCCACAGCCTATCTGAGGGTTATTGTTGTGGGAGATCGTCATCACAGTTGAGCAGCCGACAAATCAGCAGTAACTGTGATGTCATCATATTAATATGGGGGGAAAAGTCTGAGGAATGGTTGCAGCAT